CCCCAAAACCCCAAAACCCCAAAACCCCAAAACCCCAAAACCCCAAGGCTGGTTCACCAAATTGAGAATTGGAATAAAATATATCAAAGGCCTCTCGATTATCAATATGGTGCAGTAAGGCAATTTTCTTGATGATGTAGTTGCAGAAGCATTGGCTCCATTTATTTACGATTGTAAATATATTATTTTGAACATTTAAAACAGTTTTCTTTTCTAGAATTTACTGAGGATGCATATATCTAATTTGTGAAATAGGTTGAGGGTATTGAGAAAATAAATGAAAACTTTCTTCAAAATACTAACCGATCTAAAGCTATTTCAGTCATAACATGGGCTCTAATCTGATGACTGTAAGGTTTTACCGTTAATTTTTGTTTTATACTATTATTATAAATCAAAGAGCAGATTTCTATAGGGGTTATCTAAAAATATGATTAAAGCTCAAACTAATTCTCCGAAATAGGATCTCTTATTTTTGAACACAGTAATTGCCAAATTAGTTTATAATCTGAACATTTCTAATAAACCTTTCCTTCCTCAACTGAGTTTCTTTTTATTTCTTAAATAAATTACTTTAAAATTTGATAGCATTTGTAAGATTTGTTCCAACTTGGTTTAAAGTACTCATTTGCTTCTTGACAGAATTTTGTACTTCATTAATTTGACCATTTACTTCATAAATTTTTTCAGTACAATTGTTAGCAAATTTTGCAACCTTGCTATTTTTAATATAATTTTTCCCTTTGCTCAATCCTTTCTGACGTCCTTCTTGTATTAATTCTTTTCCTCCCTCCCAAAAACCTTCTCAGCCTCCCACCACAACTCCAATTTCTGTTCCTACTGCCTTCATCCATGGATTATTATTTTATAAATTGCTTTCCTGCTGGCTTGCCAATAACTCTCCCATTTTCATATCCATGCCCTAATTCTTCTCCCATTCCACCAATAAACCCATGAACTTTTCCAAATGTATCTCCAAAGAAGTACCCAACTTTCCCTCCAACCTCACGTCCTTTCTGATATCCTTCCTTATGTCCCTTGTCATATCCTTCCTTAACACCTTTAAATCCTCCTTCTCAAAATCCAACTACATTGCCTGCTGTTCTCCCAATCGCATCTCCAATCTGCCCTCCGTTCTTCACCCCGTCTTGGTATCCTTCCTGAGCTGCTTTTGCATAGTCTGCGGTTGCTAGTCCAGTGCCTATTCCGACTGTACCTCCTGCTATGTAGGCTGCACCTTCTCCAACTGCCTTCCCGACTTCTGTTCCATCATGCATACCTTTTCTAAAACTACCTGAATAATTAGCAGTTCAAAGTCCTTTCCCAACTCCAGCAACACCTCCAACCATATATGCTGAGCTTTCTCCAATAATTTTTCCAAATTTTTCTCCCTGATTTAATCCAGTGTTGAATTTATTTGGAATATTCTGCTTTAGTAAGACCTGTAGCTACACCAGCTACTCTTCCAACATTAGTTGCTACAAATTCAGCAGCTCCTTTTCCAAGTTCGACTCCAGAATCAAAACCTTCCTTCACGCTCTTCTTGATATCTGCTTGTCATATGCCTGCAAAAATTCCGACAGATTTAGTTGCTGTTGAAATTACAGTTTCTACTGCTGCTTTTCCTATTTCTTGTCCATCTTGAAATCCTTCTATTGCTGCTTTATTTAAAATTAGCTTTAAAACCGCCTGTGGCTACTCCAGCGACCATGCCTCCAGCTTTCACTACTCCTTCTACCGCATTTTTACTAATAGTCTCTCCAATATCCCTACCAGAATTCCATGCTTTCTTAACTTCAGCTTTAGATACTCCATCACACAATCCTTTTAAAGCTCCAACTCCAGCAGCTACAGATTGAACAGCTGTCTTAGTAATAACTGATCCAACTTTCTTGCCCATCTTATATCCTTTCTTATAGTTTTCTGGATTCTTAATTTCAGAAACAAATCCAGAAAATGTTCCTGCAACGAATCCAACACAGCAGGATATTAATTTACCAAAGAACCCTCCTATTCCTGAAGGCCTTAGTTTTCTTTTATATTCTTCGACCTTAGCTTTGTAGTGGTCTATCAATTTGTTCTTCTGCTCTATTTCTTCTTCCAATTCGTTTATAATATTCTCCTTTTGTATAAGTTCTTCGTGTTGCTGTTCGATTATCTGCTGCTGTTCTAATAGTTGTTGGTGCTGTTTATTAACAGTCTCTCTTAGGTATTTAATTTCATGATCTTTTTCGAGGGAATCTTTGGTCATCATTTGCCTTTCAATAAGAGTTTGACCAATTTCACGAATAATGTCATCATAATGTTCAGATTGGTCATATCCAAAGTCAATTAGCTTTTGCTTTCTTTCTTTAATTTGATTAATCAAGTAGCTTAGATTCATTTCATTTTGAAGAAATTTCATTAAATACTCTTCATTATAAACTTTAGATTTTAGTAAATTTTTCAAATTAGTTTCGTTTCCTTTAACTATTGCATATTTTGATCTTAGAGAAGAATTGACACCTAGATTCAGTATTTTCAGATTTATCAGAAAATCAAGGTACAGTATGTATTTTGCCTCTTTAATATAGTGCTTTATTTGATTTTCTAAATATGCCTCAAATATACCACTTTCTCTCTTGCCTGAAAGCTCGATCAAATTTTTTCTGTATGGAATAATAGAACTGAGAGTTGCTGCAATAATAACATAAACATCTTTCTTCGATTTATCTGCTTCAGTATCATTTTCTAATGGAGATCCTATTTCGAATAGAAACTCTGGAATGTCTTCTATTTTGCTTATTGTTTCGAATTTTTTCAAAAATTCGATATCATAGTCCAACGAATTCTGATAAATAAGAGGTTCAATAATACCAATAAATAGCTTGTCCATCTGCTTCTTTAAAACGGTATCCCAAACATCTAAGAGTTTTCTCATTTTATTTCTAGCTCCATCAGAAATAGGCAATTCTATATTTGTTGGAACTGGCGATTCTTTTTGCAGCAATGGTATCAAATGAGGCAAATCTCCAACGAATTTTCCATTGACAGGTTGAGGGAAAACAACTAATTTATCTCATATATCTTCGATAAGAATGGTATGCTGAGGAGCATCTTGAATAAATCTTCTGAGCATTACAATAACTCTATTTTTAAGAGTAACATCGGTTTTAGTAACTACGTAAACAGATGGCCAATAATATTCTTTATTTTGAATAATAAGGGGCTTCGTCATTAACTTGAGGGAGTTTTAATATATCGCTCAAATGGTCTAAAAACTTATGAAACAAGAACCCTCTTCCTTGCAGTTCATAAATAGAAAAGCAAGGAATAATTTTACATTTCTCATTGCTGATTAATAATTGTTGCAATGATAATCAGCTAGCTATTTCTTGTTCATAAGAATCAGGAATATTAAAGCCTGGTGTATCATAAATAATTGATTGTGAATTAGTAAAATGCAAATCGTATTTTCTTGGAATGATTGTCCCAGCTTTACTCAAACTATGAGAAATAATAGGGCCTGCATCTTTACTTTTTACATCGAGATTCCATTGCTCATATCAAGTAACCCTTTCAGCTACCAAGTTTTTATTTAGATAATGAACCAGAGAGCTTTTGCCACATCCTACATTTCCAATTACAACATAAGGAACTATATCTTGATTCCATTTATGACTTTTTATAGTTTCTACAGATGACATAATATAATGACTAGACAATACACTCTCATCAATATCGATTATTTTCATTAACTTCTTTTTAATATCTGCAAAGCTTCAACCAATCTTAACAAGATATTCAATGAGTAGCTGCAGTTGGGCTTCTCCGCCATTTTGAAGTTTGTCAATAAACTCATATAAATCTTCCTCTTCCTGCATTTCTAATCAGCGCTCTCTTTCTCTTATCATCATCTCTTCTTCCATAGATCTTTGTTGGTCTATAATCCTTCTATTTTCTCTTTCCACCTCTTTCTGTATAATATGTATCTGGGGTTTTATGCTTTTAAGTTCATTCATAAACTGGTTTCACGATGCATAGATACAAAACCTCACCAGTTCTCTTGAGTTTCTAGAAGTATTCAACATCTTATTATCTCAGAAAAGTCCTAGCAGCTTTGCTTTTAAATTTGAGCTCTGCTTTTCTTCTGTTAGTTTGAGGATTTCTTCAATTACTTTTGATTGCTTAAATTGATCCAAATGGCTTAGCCTATCTAAGTACCATTCAATACATTCTTTTGAGATTTCTTTTACTTTATGCATGAGCATTCTTTTTCCTCTTGTGATAAATATTTCTGATTTTATAACCAGCAAATTGGAAATTTTTTGTCTATTGTTGAGATACTTCTTTGTAAGCTCCTTCATATTTTGTGTTTCAAGGAAATCAATTAGCATATCCTCATAACTATCCTCCTGCATCATAACTGAATTATTTATTAGGCGTCAGATATAGTTCTCAACTTCTATTCCATGGACACTTTCCTGTCTTTTATGTTCATTTTCCAAATTCTGATGATTTGCCACTTGTCCAAAAATATCCTTGATTCCCGATTTAATTTTATTCACAATATTTGGAGAGTTTTTAATATCAGTTTTTTTCTCCTTTTGATGTGTTACTTCATCATTGGAAAACTTCGAGTTCTTTTGTTTAAGATTCTTTTGAGAGGTTTTCACATTGCTTTGAGTCATCTTTAGCTGATTTCAGCCAGTTGGGTTATCTGTATAATCGTTTGGAGATACCATATACTTCTTGTTATTCAATTCTGTTTCTGACCTATTTTGTATTTTAGGTCTTATTTCATGTACATCTTCTAACATCTTTTCAGATACAATATGCGCATCTAGATCCCCGACCCTCAGCATTTCTTTATCTTCTGATTCCATGTATTCCTTCTGAAAACTCTTAGATTCTTCTCTTGTAAGCAGACTATCATGGCTGCTCTTTGTTTTCTCTGTTCTATATTTTTCTTTTTCTGAGTTTGTCATTTTGCAAATATTGTGGTTTTTTGCATCCTTTCCTTCAGAGATTTGATTCTTATCTAAATCTGATCATCTTCTTCTCTGTTGGGTTATAGTATACTCCCTATTAACTATAGGAGATCTTGTATCTTTATTTCATTGATTTTCCATTATTAAATATTATTATGTACTTCAAAAGATGCCTTTTAAAGAGGGGTTTTGGGGTTTTGGGGTTTTGGGGTTTTGGGGTTTTGGGATTTTGGGGTTTTGGGG